AAGTCCTCACCTGAGAGTGAAGAGGGGGAAAGCATTGTGGGTGTACAGAAATAGCCTTCTAAAACAGTAAGAGAGGTGATGACTTGAGAAATAATGTGATTGCCAGTAGCCCTATTAAAATCCCAGTTGAGGTTATTAATTATGAATTTAAAATGAGTTTGTTGAGCATGATTATGGTTACTTTTCTCCACCACGTTTGGCTGCACAAGTGCTGGTATGGAATAGCCAGAGAGTTGGATCTAGCCAGGGTTGAGGTTGGCCAAGAGCATATGACAGACCATATGACCGAGAGGCAAGGGAGTTCATGTGTATACAAGGGGGCGATTGTAATGGTTGGCCACGGAAGCTGAGCCAGGTGGGACGTTAGGGCACAAGCAGGTGAGGAATAATGAAAAGCCAGCAGTATCAAATAGATTGTAGGGCCTAGTGGGATCAAAGGATGGTTGTAGTCAGCATACAGAAATGAGGAACAAAAGAACAACGGGCGTTATGGTATAGTTGAGAGTACAGGTCCTGCAGTAGGACAGGAAGTGAAAACTGGCCCTGCCACTTAGCAGTAGTGTGTCTGTGGGCAAAGCTATCTGAGCTCTTCAGCCTAGGTTTCCTCATCAGTAAAATGAGAACGCTAGTAGTACCTGCCCGCAGCACTGTTGTAAAGATCCAGTAATGCGGTATGAAAAAAGTGCTGGCACATAGGAAGCTCTGAAACTTTAGCTGCTATTATATAACTGTCATTCTTATTAAGGAAAATGCAAAAATATTGGTACTTATACTGAATTCTTCAATTATGAGTGGTCTTAGGGTTTTTTAAAAAATATTTTCTGTATCTTTTAAAGACTTTACAATGAGTGTTATCATTCCCATAATTGAGAGATCTGTGCAAGAAGTGTTTTTAAGTGTAACTCAGTTTAAGTTGAAACTAAAAACCAAAAGTTAATGAATTTATGTAGTTTTAGAAAACCGGAAGTATCTGGGCTGAGATGATAAAGTGAATTTTGCCTTAACTCTTTCCTTAGGTAAAACAAGCATATTTGTAGCTCCTATGTGTGCAGCTAAACTTTATAATCATTATTAGTAACATTTAAGAGAAAACTAAGACAGTGCTACCCCTACCCTCTAATAATATCTGTTCTGCCACTTGTTGGGCTATGATTTTAGCTTAAATTTCTTGAAGGGTTTTTTTGCACATCTAGGAACACCTTCATAATATAAATCCCCTGACAGTGAGGTCATTGCTTATAAACCTCTATTTATTAACCTCTTAATAACTAGCCAAGTGTAAGCAAAAATGGGTCACAGAACAGATGCCAGAGTGTCTGGGAAGAAAGAAATAAGCCATTTAGTGGCCAGGAACGATGCCTCACGCCTGTAATCCTAGCACTCTGGGAGGCCAAGGCGAGAGGATCGTTTGAGCTCAGGAGTTTGAGACCAGCCTGAGCAAGAGGGAGACCCCCTTCTCTACTAAAAATAGAAAGAAATTAGCTGGATGACTAAAAATAAAAATTAGCCGGGCATGGTGGCACATGCCTGTAGTCCCAGCTACTCAGGAGGCTGAGGCAGAAGGATCGCTTGAGTCCAGGAGTTTGAGGTTGCTGTGAGCGAGTCTGATACCATGGCACTCTAGCTGGACAACAGAGTGAGACTCTGTCTCAAAAAAAGAAAAGCCGTTTAGAAAGACACCACAGGAATTTTGCCCTATGCTGGTCTTAACTGTTCCTTGCACCTGTATACTGCATGCCCTTGTTTATACTTAACAACATAGGAGATTTTGTTGCTAATAAAGAAATGAATGAATAACCAAGCCATACAGGCAAATTCAGATTAACCAGTTGGCATTAACATTAGGGTGACCATAGAATTTATTGTAGTGCATGTTCCAGAGTTGCTCATGTGAGCCATGTCTTTGTGGATTTATCTTGGACTTCTGAATCTTAAATTGAAAAATTAGTGTGGTTAGAATTTATAGTTCTTGTCTTTGTCATTTTATACTGTAGCCGTCTGATTTGGGGCTAGTTTCCTAATCTCTGTAAGATTGTTTCCTGCTCAGTAAAATTGAATATCAATTATTAAATGTGATAACACAGAATTTCCCAAACTTGCTTGGTAGGAAATTCGTGGCTGGGGTGAGGCGAGAGGATCTCTAGAGCCCAGAAGTTCCCAGGCTGCAGTGAGCTATGATCATGCCACTGCACTCCAGCCTGGGCAACAGAATGAGACCCTCTTCCTTTTTTTTAAAAAAAAAAAAAAGGATGGCCGGGCGCGGTGGCTCACACCTGTAATCCTAGCACTCTGGGAGGCCGAGGTGGGCAGATCATTTGAGCTCAGGAGTTGGAGACCAGCCTGAGCAAGAGTGAGACCCTGTCTCTACTAAAAAAAAATAGAAAGAAATTACTTGGACAGCTAAAAATATATAGAAAAAATTAGCCGGGCATGGTGGCGCATGCCTATAGTCCCAGCTACTCTGGAGGCTGAGGCAGAAGGATCACTTGAGCCCAGGAGTTTGAGGTTGCTGTGAGCGAGGCTGACGCCACGGCACTCTAGCCTGGGCAACAGAGTGAGACTCTGTCTCAAAAAAAAAAAAAAAAAGGAAATTCACTTGGGGCACTTGTTAAAAAATCTCAAGTCCTTCCCTGGTGTTCTAGTGGTTAGGAAAAAATAAATTCTCAAGTCTTATCTTCCCCCCACTCCCACACTGGGAGATTTTGATTCAGAAGGTCTGACATAGGGCCATAAAATCAATCTATTACACCCCTTCCCTCTATCTACCTGTATCTCTTATATTCCTATATTTTTAACAAACACCCTCCAGGTGATTGTTTTGATCAAACAAGTTTGAGAAATATTTAAACGTATGCGAAGGTGTCTTGGGATGCTGGGTGTCATTGTAATAGAGGTGAGGGCATATTAGAGTCAATAGGACCTGAGGGCGAGCCTGTCTCTACCACTTCCCTAACCCCACTGTGACCTTCAATAAGCTACCTGACCTGTTTCCAGGTCTATAAAATAATAATATCTACATCATGGTGTTGTTAGGATGATTACATTAGAGAACATGAGAAAACCTGTAACTGATATATAGGTTAAAATTAATATTCCCAATTAAAAGACTACACTTTTTTGTTTTTAAGCACAAAGATATTTAAAAAACCAAAATGGAATTTATCTTTCAAGTCAATAAGACCCCTTAGAAATCTTATTTCTAAGAAACTCCTAGAAACCATCCACATTGCCATCTCAAATTCTTGGGTTTTCCTACCTTCAAAATGTCAATAATGGCTTCCCAGGGTACTTTCTGACTTGAGTGTAAGGATTAATCTCTTTTTAAAAAACTGAGGAGACTAGGCTTTATTGTCTAAAAATAAAAGTGCACATAATTTATGACATAATTTTAAGAAAAGCATTATAAGGCATATGAATCACAATCAGTTTATTTTAAGCTAAATATGTAAAGATAAGTAAAATACATGTATTACACAGTTTTCTGGAGTCCATCAGCAGCATTATATTACTGCCTATTTTCATATACACATTCACACAGACACTTAGATTTGTAAATTAAATGGTAACTTTTCTCTATTTAAGGGTCTCATGATATAATAGCATCTAACATTAGAATCTAGAGTTCTTTGTCATTGGCGTATAATAGTCTCTCAATGAATAAAAATTATTCCAGGGCCGGGCGCGGTGGCTCACACCTGTAATCCTAGCACTCTGGGAGGCTGAGGCGGGCAGATTGTTTGAGCTCAGGAGTTCGAAACCAGCCTGAGCAAGAGCGAGACCCCGTCTCTACTAAAAATAGAAAGAAATTAATTGGACAACTAAAAATATATAGAAAAAATTAGCCGGGCATGGTGGCGCATGCCTGTAGTCCCAGCTAGTCGGGAGACTGAGGCAGGGGGATCGCTTGAGCCCAGGAGTTTGAGGTTGCTGTGAGCTAGGATGATGCCACAGCACTCTAGCCCGGGCAACAGAGTGAGACTCTGTCTCAAAAAAAAAAAAAAAAATTATTCCAGAATAGTAATGCGTAAACTTAACAAGCATGATCATAGATGTTCTGAAAAGTGTAATGTCATATTCACAACTAATGTTTTGATTAATAATGTAAAAATAAAATCTTGACAGTTTATTACTACCAAATAGTACAACTTGTCCCCAGTGGATTTATAGTTCAAATTAAGCAGGCCAAACTACAGAAAGGCACATCTGAAAGCACTCATTTTTTTTAATACATCACCTGAATTTTCACAGAGATGTAATTGTACTAAAGGAACTTCGCAGATAAGATAATTTTGAGAGCAAGAGGTGAAAGTTTGTGATGCACGTGACATTACTAAGAGATAAAATAGGGGGCTGGGCTCAGTGGCTCATGCCTGTAATCCTAGCACTCTGGGAGGCCAAAGCTGGAGGATAGCTTGAGCTCAGGAGCTCGAGAGCAACCTGAGCAAAAGTGAGACCCTGTCACTACTAAACATAGAAAACTTAGCTGGGTATCATGGCATGCACCTGTAGTCCAGTGACTTGAGAGGCTGAGGCAGGAAGATTACTTGAGCCCAGGAGTTTGAGGTTGTGGTAAGCTGTGATGATGCCACTGTACCCTACGCAGGGTTCAAAAAGGGTAGCTTTCTAAATCATGAATATGTTTTTTTTAATCAGTGAAAGTAAAAAGAGCCTGATTTTAATAATCATGTGAAAAAAGAAATCATGTTTGGCAAGAATTAATTTATGCTGCAGACAACTAGGGTAAGTCAAAGATGGTTATACGATTTCACATGTATGAAATAGGGTGAGTGAAATTAAAAATAGATCTTGCAAAAAACTATAGCCCCTTTCGTCTTAGAATTCTCTGACTCATAATTTTGGTTTAAGGATATTGGCTAAAATTGTAAGCCTTTATTTTTTATAAATATTTAATCGTTTGTTTTGTCTTTTTAAATGACTCAGTGCAAGTTGAGTTTTATCAAGGACTGTGGGTACTAAATAATGTTTCTTCTTTACTACAGGTAAAACTCTAGTCAAGAAGCTAACAAAAAAGGTAAGCGATGTATAGGGGGTTTTTTGTTTTTGGTAAGATAGAAAATAAATTTTTATAAGTTAAATTGAAAGATTTTAACGTGTGTATTCAAAGGATATCGAAGACGCACTGGCAGGAATCCAGACAGCTGGTTATGGATCAACTTTTTTTAGAGACCTTGGTGATAAAGGTAATTTTGATTTGTTAAGTTTCTAATTATGTTTTTCATTTAACTGAAGTATTATTAAAGAATTAAGGTATGAGATCTGTACCATGTTATTTAATAAGTGTTTTTAAAACATCACAAAATACTCATTGAGCAGGGGGCAACTTTCAAACTCTTTGAGCAATTGCAGATAAATTATTAAAACATCTATGTTGGTTGAAGTAAAAGTACTGAACACAAATACAGTTTTTTAAAAATTGTACTGCTTTACTATTGATTACAAGAGTGTATATCTAAAATCATGTATTCTATACTTAGACTCATAAAGATAATTATTGGCCGTATACAGTGGCTCACGCCTGAAATCCCAGCACTTTGGGAGGCTGAGGCAGGAGAATCACTAGAGCCCAGGAGTTCAGGGGTACAGTGAGCTAGTCACCACTGCACTCCAGCCTGGACAACAAACTAAGAACACAAGAGTGAAAAGGCGACCCTCAGAATGGGGAAAAATATTTTCAAATCATACATATGATAAGGGATTAATGTCCAGAATATATAAAGAAATACACCCCAACTTTGTTCCCTTTCCCACCTCAATTATTAATATCATGGGCTATTTCATCCACTTAATCTCAGACAATGGTTGGTTGTTGGATTCCCTGAACAGAAAGCAGAATGAGGTTACAGGGCTGGAGGGAGGGAGGATTCAGGAGTTAGTGTTTAGCGTGTACAGTGTTTCGGTTTAGGATGATGAAAACGTTCTAAGGACAGTTGTACACAATGTGAATGTACTTAATGCCACTGAACTATACATTCAAAAGTGGTCGAAATAGTAAATTTTATGTTGTTTATTTTACCACAATAAGATGACTGAAGAGACCTATCCACTAAGTACAGTGCAGAGACCTTCCTAGTCTCATTTGAGCACACTTGAAAAAAAATTTCAGAAACAGAGAAGTTAGTAATGCTGATTGAAACTTAAAGATGTTAAGGAATTGTTGATAATTTCTCAGGTGTGATAACTGTATTTGGCGTAAAGGGTAAGAGTTTTTTTTTTTTTTAGGGGTACAGCCTGAATTTTTTTACTATGAAATGATATGATATATAGGATTTGTTTCAAAATAATCCAGTGGGAAGTCAGGAGTAAGAAGGGATAGAGATAAAACAAGACCACTCAGTTGATAATTATTGGAATTGAGTTTCATCATGTTATTATTTAAGATAATTAATATATATTCATCATATTATTCTTTCTACTTTTGTATGTGATTGAAGTTTTTCATGGTAAAAAAGCATTTAATTGTTAATTGTGCTCTTTGCTATTATACCAATCTTGTGGTTCAAAGGGAAAAAAATTTTTAGCTTAGGGAGCCATGATTGTTTAAGATACTCTTTCTGTATTTAATGTAATTTTTTACATTGCAGGCAACATAAAACCTGACACAATATACTTAAACAGGAAAGAAAGTTTCTTTAGTGACTAGACATAGAGTTAACTTCAAACCCAACTTAATCTAGGGCTCAAAAATCACCAGTATTCATTTTTTAGGCCTGCCAATTAAAGATTGGCTATACTCTCAGGCTCTAAATACTGGCCCTCTGGCAATTCCAGGCACTGTAGCCTCACATTCCTAGAATAACATTCTCACATCATCCAAGCCAAGCACACACACTCAAAAAAAGTCAGTCAATGGTCCAGCGTTCACAACAGAAATCCTGGGGTACCACTCTGAGTGGCCCAACATAGGTCGTGGCCCGTCCCTGAACTAGTCCCTGGACTCAGACTAATGCAGCCTGTTCAGTAGCTTGGGCCTGAGTTACTTGCCCGTCCCCTCATCAGTTCCACAGAAGTACAGTGATTGGCTTAGGCCAATAATCATCTACCTCCAGAGGTGAAGATAGGGTCATCCTACCCAAACTGCATGTTTGAGAATGGGGAAGAATGATTTCCCAAAGGAAAATCAAGTTACTGCTACAACGATTTGATCATTACATTTTAAATAATATCATTTGACTCTTGGTTTATCCAAATCTCTGTTACTCTCCTGAATTAATACATTTGCTTTACTTGATGTTCTGAACAGTAAAATTTAGGTAGGAATTACATAAAGTGCCATGCAAATATTAATATAACTTGTAGTGGATACTTGTTATTTGCTAGCCAGCATCCCTTCCTCTCCTCTCTTTTAGTCACTGTTCTCCAGAGAAACAGAACCCACAGGAGATAAAGAGAGAGATTAATTATGAGGAATTGGCTCACATGATTGTGGAGGCTCTGAAGTCCCATGATCTGCCATCTTGCAAGCTGGAGACCAGGGGAGCTGGTGGTATAAATCCCAGTCTGAGAGCAGGAGAAGAAGAGATAAGATATCCCAGCTCTAGCAGTGAGACAGGAAAAAAGGAGGGGTGAATTCTTCCCTCTCCAGCTTTTTGTTCAACAGATTGAATAATGCCCACCTATGTTGGGTAGGACATCCCACTTTATAGGGTCTACCGATTCACATACTAATCTCAACTGGAAATACCATCACAGATACAACCAGAAATAGTGTTTAATCTGGGCATTGAAAGTGTTTAATCTATGGCCCAGTCAGATTGACACTTAAAATTAACCATCACCCGCTCCTTACTAGTAATACAGTAACCTAATGAAACATAGTGTCTTTAAGTTTTAGGATCGTACTGCAACTTTCTACTATAAAAATTTTCCAGTGTACCAAAGAGAGGTAATTTAAAGTAAAAATGTGTTTTTTGAGCCAGGTGTGGGGGCTCATGCTTGTAATCCCAGCTACTGGGCAGGCTGAGGTGGGAGGATTGCTTGAGCCCAGGAATTGGAGGCTGCAGGGAGCTATGATAGCACCTCTTCACTCCAGCCTGAGACCCTATCTCTAAAACAGTAAGATAAAGTAAAAATGTGGTTTTTTAATTAGGTGAAGTTCCAATATTAATATCTCTATGTGGTTACTTCTTTAAAACTTATTTCCTGGTATGTTTTTATTTTATCTCTTTCAGGGCTAATTTCATATACTGAGTATCTTTTCTTGCTTACAATCCTCACTAGTAAGTATCCCACATTTTTTCTCAGTGATCATGTGGAATTGTCTGTTCTTACTAAACAGGATTTTGGAAGTTTGGTATTTATGTCTTTATCATTAAAAATATTATTAGTACCTTAGTTTCTGTATCTACAGAATGATAATATTGGTTAGATTATCCCTTTAGGTCTCTTCTACCTCCTGTGCACTGTGGCACCCTATAACTTTGTCTCCTTAATAGAAGTCTTGTGGAACAGGATAATCGTAGAGTTAGCCTTTCCTTAGGACTATTAAAAATCCTTGTAAGTCTAAAATGATAGCAAAATAAAAAGATTTTTTTTAAAAAGCCCTACTCTGAGAAAAGGAAGTAAAAAGTAATCATCAAAGTGAAAATCGCCAGGGTATTGTAAAAATATAGGAAAGGCCCTAGTAGAGCTAAAGAAATAAATTAAGTTCTCAAATTAATTTTGCATTGAAAGACAGAACACCTACTAGCAGAACAGCAGCATTCATGGAAAAGGTGTTAGAAAAGGCAAGGGTCAAATATGAACCTTTGGAAATTGTTATAAGAAGAAATCATTACTGTTTTTTGTTTAGGCACTTTTACTCATATCGTTTCTGCTGGTTTATTTCAAATTTGAAGATTTATCTATCTGCAAATAATTTTCTTTTCACCAACATTTAAATAATTATTCATTTTCACTTTATTACAGAGCCCCATTCTGGGTTTCATGTTGCTTTTAAAATGCTGGATGCAGATGGTAATGAGATGATTGAAAAAAAGGAATTTTTTAAGGTAAGTAGATTATTTTAGGTTTATCATAAAATACCTGGGTGTTTGTGTGATTTACATTTCATAAAAATCAAAATTATATTCACTGTTTACATATGAACTGTGAAGAAATTTGTACATTCAAAAATATTAAATTCTCTGTAATGTATCATTGAGGAAACCAGTAAGTATACAGACCAACACCAACATAAGCTTAAGCATTTTTCAGGGTTTTATTATGATTTCAGCAAATAATATTACAGAAAAAAGGGCTTCATAGGATATGTATAGTTTAAAGAATATGTGTTAAAGATATGTTGAAAATTATTCTTATACCATGAAAGGAATAGACATAATAGAAACTGAAGCCTTCATGAAGAATAGGAAAAAAATGGAAAGGCCACAATGGGTATAAATTGGTACAAATTTTCTAGGAGTTTGCAAAGGCTGATATTTGAAAAGCTGAAAATATGTTTAAATGGTATTTCCTGAAACATAACTCCAGGATATCCAACAAGTGAATTTCACTTTGTTCCCAAAAAGTTGGTGGTAATATCATAATAATACTATGCAGGCAGTATTGCAGCTGTGATCTGATTCCAAGTCCATCCAGTTCTAAAGCCCTTCTTTTTTCTCAGTATCAGCCTTCCACATTTGAAGGAGAATTCTTAGGATGCTTGAAAGAAAGATCTTGACTCTGAGCTTGAAAATGTTGGGTTTGATCAATGGATAGGACATCCCTATAGAGACAGATAAGTATAGTAGGCAACTATCTAGAAACTAAGAATGTAGCCAGGAATAGGGAACATCCTCATAGAGGTGATAATTAAGTCCTGACAATGTGTGACCTCAAAATGGGAGAACATAGAGTGAAAAGGGATAGGACCAGAGTCTTGGAGAGCAGTTTCATATTGAGGTCAAGCTAAAGTTGAAAAGTCAAGGAATGAAACTGAGAAGGAACAGGGCAGTAAACAGTGCTAGAGAATTAAGAAAGCCCAGAGTACGCAGTGTAATGAAGTAGAATAATGGAACAAAACAATAATGGTGAGGGAGTGTTTAATAGCAAACTCTTTTAAAAGTGGGCAAGTAGGATAGGGACTGAGTAGAGAAGAGAGCCCTGCAATGTAGGTCAGTAGGAACTGTTACAGAGCAATTTCAAAAGAGTGGTAGGAACTCACAGCACAGAGCAAAGGCTGAAGAAGAGTGAATAGGAAGTTCAAAACTGGTAGCAGTAGACAAAAAATAATTCTTTTGAGATATTTGATGGTTAAGGAAGGAAATTAAATTTAGCTTAAGGAGGAAAATTGTGGGATACAAAAAGCAGTGCTAAGAGGGAAGTTTATAGCATTAAATGCCTACATCAAAAACATAGAAAGATCACAAATTAATAAACCTAACATCACACCTCAAGGAAATAGAAAAACAAAAACAAACCAAACCCTAAGTTAGCAGAATAAAAGAAATAACAAAGACCAGAGGAGAGCTAAATGAAATAGAGACCAATAA